GGGCTCCTAGGGCAAAAGTTGAAATGAGCTTTTCACATGTGTAGACATGTAGTGCACTTGTCTATCTGGTGCATATCACATGTGCACTGAGTAAAAGCAATCACCAACTTCTACCCACCATGATTATCATGGTCTGCACCCTGGTACTAGGGATAATAATAAAATATCACCAACTTCTACCCACCATGATTATCATGGCCTGCACCCCGGTACTAGGGATAATAATAAAATATCACAAACTTCTACCCACCATGATTATCATGGCCTGCACCCCGGTACTAGGGATAATAATAAAATATCACAAACTTCTACCCACCATGATTATCATGGCTTACACCCCGGTACTAGGGATAATAATAAAATATCACAAACTTCTACCCACCATGATTATCATGGCTTACACCCCGGTACTAGGGATAATAATAAAATATCACAAACTTCTACCCACCATGATTGTCATGGCCTGCACCACGGTACTAGGGATAATAATAAAATATCACAAACTTCTACCCACCATGATTATCATGGCCTGTACCCCCCGGTACTAGGGATAATAATAAAATATCACAAACTTCTACCCACCATGATTATCATGGCCTGTACCCCCCGGTACTAGGGATAATAATAAAATATCACAAACTTCTACCCACCATGATTATCATGGCCTGCACCCCCCGGTACTAGGGATAATAATAAAATATCACAAACTTCTACCCACCATGATTATCATGGCTTACACCCCGGTACTAGGGATAATAATAAAATATCACAAACTTCTACCCACCATGATTATCATGGCCTGCACCCCGGTACTAGGGATAATAATAAAATATCACCAACTTCTACCCACCATGATTATCATGGCTTACACCCCGGTACTAGGGATAATAATAAAATATCACAAACTTCTACCCACCATGATTATCATGGCTTACACCCCGGTACTAGGGATAATAATAAAATATCACAAACTTCTACCCACCATGATTATCATGGCCTGCACCCTGGTACTAGGGATAATAATAAAATATCACAAACTTCTACCCACCATGATTATCATGGCCTGTACCCCCCGGTACTAGGGATAATAATAAAATATCACAAACTTCTACCCACCATGATTATCATGGCTTACACCCCGGTACTAGGGATAATAATAAAATATCACAAACTTCTACCCACCATGATTGTCATGGCCTGCACCACGGTACTAGGGATAATAATAAAATATCACAAACTTCTACCCACCATGATTATCATGGCCTGTACCCCCCGGTACTAGGGATAATAATAAAATATCACAAACTTCTAACCCACCATGATTATCATGGCCTGTACCCCCCGGTACTAGGGATAATAATAAAATATCACAAACTTCTACCCACCATGATTATCATGGCTGCAACCCCCGGTACTAGGGATAATAATAAAATATCACAAACTCTACCCACCATGATTATCATGGCTTACACCCCGGTACTAGGGATAATAATAAAATATCACAAACTTCTACCCACCATGATTATCATGGCCTGCACCCCGGTACTAGGGATAATAATAAAATATCACCAACTTCTACCCACCATGATTATCATGGCTTACACCCCGGTACTAGGGATAATAATAAAATATCACAAACTTCTACCCACCATGATTATCATGGCTTACACCCCGGTACTAGGGATAATAATAAAATATCACAAACTTCTACCCACCATGATTATCATGGCCTGCACCCTGGTACTAGGGATAATAATAAAATATCACAAACTTCTACCCACCATGATTATCATGGCTTACACCCCGGTACTAGGGATAATAATAAAATATCACAAACTTCTACCCACCATGATTATCATGGCTTACACCCCGGTACTAGGGATAATAATAAAATATCACAAACTTCTACCCACCATGATTATCATGGCTTACACCCCGGTACTAGGGATAATAATAAAATATCACAAACTTCTACCCACCATGATTATCATGGCCTGCACCCCGGTACTAGGGATAATAATAAAATATCACAAACTTCTACCCACCATGATTATCATGGCTTACACCCCGGTACTAGGGATAATAATAAAATATCACAAACTTCTACCCACCATGATTATCATGGCTTACACCCCGGTACTAGGGATAATAATAAAATATCACAAACTTCTACCCACCATGATTATCATGGCCTGCACCCCGGTACTAGGGATAATAATAAAATATCACAAACTTCTACCCACCATGATTATCATGGCTTACACCCCGGTACTAGGGATAATAATAAAATATCACAAACTTCTACCCACCATGATTATCATGGCTTACACCCCGGTACTAGGGATAATAATAAAATATCACAAACTTCTACCCACCATGATTATCATGGCCTGCACCCCGGTACTAGGGATAATAATACAATATCATAAACTTCTACCCACCATGATTATCATGGCTTACACCCCGGTACTAGGGATAATAATAAAATATCACAAACTTCTACCCACCATGATTATCATGGCCTGCACCCCGGTACTAGGGATAATAATAAAATATCACAAACTTCTACCCACCATGATTATCATGGCCTGCACCCCGGTACTAGGGATAATAATAAAATATCACAAACTTCTACCCACCATGATTATCATGGCCTGCACCCCGGTACTAGGGATAATAATAAAATATCACAAACTTCTACCCACCATGATTATCATGGCTTACACCCCGGTACTAGGGATAATAATAAAATATCACAAACTTCTACCCACCATGATTATCATGGCCTGCACCCCGGTACTAGGGATAATAATACAATATCACAAACTTCTACCCACCATGATTATCATGGCCTGCACCCCGGTACTAAGGATAATAATAAAATATCACAAACTTCTACCCACCATGATTATCATGGCTCACACCCCGGTACTAGGGATAATAATAAAATATCACAAACTTCTACCCACCATGATTATCATGCCTGCACCCTGGTACTAGGGATAATAATAAAATATCACAAACTTCTACCCACCATGATTATCATGGCTTTCACCCCGGTACTAGGGATAATAATAAAATATCACAAACTTCTACCCACCATGATTATCATGGCCTGCACCCCGGTACTAGGGATAATAATAAAATATCACAAACTTCTACCCACCATGATTGTCATGGCCTGCACCACGGTACTAGGGATAATAATAAAATATCACAAACTTCTACCCACCATGATTATCATGGCTTACACCCCGGTACTAGGGATAATAATAAAATATCACAAACTTCTACCCACCATGATTATCATGGCCTGCACCCCGGTACTAGGGATAATAATAAAATATCACAAACTTCTACCCACCATGATTGTCATGGCCTGCACCACGGTACTAGGGATAATAATAAAATATCACAAACTTCTACCCACCATGATTATCATGGCTTACACCCCGGTACTAGGGATAATAATAAAATATCACAAACTTCTACCCACCATGATTATCATGGCCTGCACCCTGGTACTAGGGATAATAATAAAATATCACAAACTTCTACCCACCATGATTATCATGGCTTACACCCCGGTACTAGGGATAATAATAAAATATCACAAACTTCTACCCACCATGATTATCATGGCCTGCACCCCGGTACTAGGGATAATAATAAAATATCACAAACTTCTACCCACCATGATTATCATGGCTTACACCCCGGTACTAGGGATAATAATAAAATATCACAAACTTCTACCCACCATGATTATCATGGCTTACACCCCGGTACTAGGGATAATAATAAAATATCACAAACTTCTACCCACCATGATTATCATGGCTTACACCCCGGTACTAGGGATAATAATAAAATATCACAAACTTCTACCCACCATGATTATCATGGCTTACACCCCGGTACTAGGGATAATAATAAAATATCACAAACTTCTACCCACCATGATTGTCATGGCCTGCACCACGGTACTAGGGATAATAATAAAATATCACAAACTTCTACCCACCATGATTATCATGGCTTACACCCCGGTACTAGGGATAATAATAAAATATCACAAACTTCTACCCACCATGATTATCATGGCCTGTACCCCGGTACTAGGGATAATAATAAAATATCACAAACTTCTACCCACCATGATTATCATGGCCTGCACCACGGTACTAGGGATAATAATAAAATATCACAAACTTCTACCCACCATGATTATCATGGCCTGTACCCCCCTGATACTAGGGATAATAATAAAATATCACAAACTTCTACCCACCATGATTATCATGGCCTGCACCCCGGTACTAGGGATAATAATAAAATATCACAAACTTCTACCCACCATGATTATCATGGCCTGCACCCCGGTACTAAGGATAATAATAAAATATCACAAACTTCTACCCACCATGATTATCATGGCCTGCACCCCGGTACTAAGGATAATAATAAAATATATAAATAGATGTTGACATAAGTGGGTGAGAGATATTTCAGTAATCAAGTCAGTAGAGAGAGTTGCTGGTTTGACAAATTATCCTTGAAAGTTTCATTCTAAGATGTTTGAAACCTGAAGTTATCTCTGAGAACAAAGTTTTCCAGCTGTCTAATCCACTTTGAAAGACATTGGTACGGAATATAGCTTTATACTGGGCTGAACTCTATGGACACTTGTAGAATGACATTTGAAAATTATCCCACATGTGTTTCTTTTTTTTATTTTTTTATTAAGCCTAGTACACGTGGTACAGGCCATGATAATCATGGTGGGTAGTTAGAGACTGCTTTTACTGTAAGTGCACCACATGTCTACACATGTGAAAAGCAGTTAGACTTTGCACTTACAAATGTGCCATGCGCCTGTGTTTCTTTTGAACGAAAAATCGAAATTTATTTTTAAGGAGAAATAACGATTATTTCTAACCTTAGGGATGAAGTATGAAAGGATGAATTGTGAAGAGTAATGATAAACAGAAAAATAAAAGTGCCCTGATATGGGAATCGAACCCACAGTGTTCCGCTTACCAGGCAGATGCCATGTCCACTAGGCTAGGCATTCTCAAATGTCATTCTACAATCATAAGCCGCATTATATTGTATTATAAATTACTTTCTATGGACACTGTTAGCTAATGACGTCAGATTGCTGGAGGAACATGTGAGATGCTAGTATAAAACACTGTGGACTTTCACGGTACATGGTGGTGGTAGTACTAGCGGGAGATAGCAATATCATTTAATTTGTGATCGAACATTGAGGCCCATTGTACGTATTACATCCCAAACACGATGTGACACCAGCCATCTCTGTCTTGAACTCGATGTACCATCTCAGCAACCGTTAAGCCAGTGAATTTCTTTAATTGGTCCACGAAGCATGTCGGCGGGCATCCAGGTATGTGTCGCCCAGACTTTTTTTTTGCTTATCCCTAGTACACGTGGTACAGGGCATGATAATCATGGTGGTTAGAAGTAGGCGACTACTTTAACTGTAAGTGCACCACATGTCTACATATGTGAAAAGCAGTTCGACTTTGCAATTATAAATGTGTCAGAGCCCCGTTTGGTTACTTGCACTCGCTGTTGGGGTTGGACTTTTGCAAGAATCGGAGGCCATTAGAGCATTTTTTTTTTAATAAGAAAAAAATACCCAATGTGGGAATCAAACCCGGGTTGTAGCAATCGAAAACCAATGGTTTAGACCATCCTTCCACTGACCCCTTCCTGTCAATGGGAGATATAAAAGTCTTATTTGTGAAATACTGAGATATAGAAGACTGAATTGTGGGAATAGGCTGTGTGTTAAGACATGAAAAAAATTGATTAAAGGAAAAACAATGAAAACACTACATGATGAAAATTCGAAACTATTTTAAAGGCGTAAGATTCTTTTTGAAAATAAACAATTTCTACTGCCCTTACTGCAATTGAAAAAAATTATTGGGAGGGCCTGGCTCATCAGTGAGAACCCTCCCAGTGATTTCGCCAGTTTAATCTACCATACCGCTGTTATATTGGGTTTTTGGAACTTCCTTTTATAGTGGTACTGTTGCTAGACTCTTGGAATGGGTATTTTAGAAGAACTATGGACATTTGTGGACAACATGATGAATTAGGCCACATGTATTACCCATGATGATGTGGTAGCACTAATCCTATGAGAGAGGTCATGAAAATCAAAGCCCCCGCCCCTATACTGATGAAGGGCATGTATGATGAAGGGCATGTATACAGGTTGTTGACTTTTTATCTGAATTTGTCCAAAAAATGGTGTTGTAGCTCTTTCTTTAACATCACTAGTAAAGTTTTTTTTACCAGGGTAATACAAGAAAATAAGACCTAATCCAAATAAATTAATAGTGTGTGACGTTTCAGCAACAACATTGTTACTATCATCAGACTGATAAATTATTTGGATTAGGTCTTATTTTGTTGTATTATAATCTATAATCCAAATTGTGCTTTATTATTACTAGGCTAACGAACAATGCATCGTTCTGAAGCATAATTAAAGGGAGAGGTACTTCTCTCTTTGGTACATATGTAATATATATACAGTAGAACCCCCATGAGAGGACTCCCATGCTACAGGACACCTCTTTATTAAGGACAGTTTTCATCACCAAAATTACCATTTTTACTATTTAGCAATTCTCTGGTTAAAGGACACTTCTCCCTAAAGGATACTTTGGCTCTGCAATTAGGTGTTGTTCTTTACATTTAGCTACTCTCCGGTAAGAGGACGCTTCTCCCTAAAGGATACTTTGGCTCTGTAATTAGGTGTTGTTCTTTACATTTAGCTACTCTCTGGTAAGAGGACACTTCTCCCTAAAGGACACTTTGGTTCTGCAATTAGGTGTTGTTCTTTACATTTAGCTACTCTCTGGTAAGAGAACACTTCTCCCTAAAGGACACTTTTGCTCTGCAATTAGGTGTTGTTCTTTACATTTAGCTACTCTCCGGTAAGAGGACACTTCTCTCTAAAGGATACTTTGGCTCTGTAATTAGGTGTTGTCCTTTACATTTAGCTACTCTCCGGTAAAATGACATCTCTCCCTAAAGGATACTTTTGCTCTGCAATTAGGTGCTGTTCTTTACATTTAGCTACTCTCCGGTAAAATGACATCTCTCCCTAAAGGATACTTTGGCTCTGTAATTTGGTGTTGTTCTTTACATTTAGCTACTCTCCGGTAAGAGGACACTTCTCCCTAAAGGACACTTTGGTTCTGCAATTAGGTATTGTTCTTTACAGGGAGGTAGTTCTACTGTATTATATTTTTAACAAGCGAGGAAGATCGCGCCGTTTTATTTCAAGAAGTACATCGCGGCGGTAGTAAGAGACGGGGTATGTGCGCGGGTTGTTGCCGACGTGAAAGGACAAAGGTGAAAAGTGGCGGCTGAGGGTTGTCGCGCCCCCCAGTGGCCATGACGTCATGCGGTAAACAAAAACAAAAGGATGTCACCATTGTGTCTATTTTGGTAGCTTCTTGCCGCCGCTGTTTGTCCTATGACAGGTAGGTGTGTCTGTCTGTCTATCTTGGAGAAATCACCCATGTGCATCTTGGACTATCTCCCTCTCTTTCTTTCAGACTTTATTGCCGTCAGGTATCTTCCTCCCCCCCAGTTTGTTGGAGGCTCGTGGTGTCTTCGTTGGTTTAGCGGTGTACTAAAGACTTTTTTTAAAATGAGAAATTGCTCCAAAAAAATTACGATATTCTCGTAGTTTCTCCACTGAAGGTGGTTACATCTATTTAAGACAATTTTTATTTTTTTTTATTTTGTCAATGCGATATCTCACGAGATTCTTTTTTTATTTACCGAGTATATATAAATTTACTTTTATTGATTTATTTTTAAGACATTTAAGTCTTTATTAACCCACTATCTATCTGTATATAAAAAATGTAACCCTTTTTAGCGCGATTTATTCTCAAATGCACTCATGGACAAACCTTAAGGATGTGGGAAGTCTTTGATGTCGCCGGTCGTCGTTTTGTTTTTTAATTTTTTTTTTTTTTGAGAGAGATAGAAACAATTTTGTTCACACTCTCTTGATTATCTCGTGTTGTCTTCAATAAAGATCACTGTAATATATTTCAGAGTTATTGTCTGAATCTCGATATACATGCTAAGAAGTACAATTTCCTTAAGTTTTGTCCACGGGTGTAAAACAAACTGGCTAAACATCGGCAAATGTATTATTTCGCGCTAGGCCTACTCGTTGTAAACAAGAATGGTTCATTTCTAAAACAACCTAACCTAATCTAGCGTATTTATATATATACACGGTGGCGCCGTCTTGCCTTTAGTGGGCTGCAGAAATGGGTATCTCCCCAAACAAACCCCTACTTTCCTTACTGAGATTAAAAGAAAAACATATTTGGGATGGCTTGGCTTCTCAGTGGTAAATCCTTCCAGTGGTTTCGACTCGCCGTACTGCTCAATTACTCATGGACAAAACTTAAGGAAGTTGTACCTTTCAGCATGTATATCGGGATTCAGATAATAATTCTGCAAGCTACATAGTGACCTTCCTTGAAGACACACGAGATAACCAAGTGTGTATACACGCATGGACAAAACTTATGGAAGTTGTACCTTTCAGCATGTATATCGGGATTCAGACAATAACTCTGAAAGGTATTACAGTGATCTTTCTTGAAGAGACACGAGATAACCAAGTGTGTATACACTCGATGGACAAAACTTATGGAAGTTGTACCTTTCAGCATGTATATCGGGATTCAGACAATAACTCTGAAAGGTATTACAGTGATCTTTCTTGAAGAGACACGAGATAACCAAGTGTGTATACACTCGATGGACAAAACTTATGGAAGTTGTACCTTTCAGCATGTATATCGGGATTCAGACAATAACTCTGAAAGGTATTACAGTGATCTTTCTTGAAGAGACACGAGATAACCAAGTGTGTATACACTCGATGGACAAAACTTATGGAAGTTTTACCTTTCAGCATGTATATCGGGATTCAGATAATAATTCTGCAAGATACACAGTGACCTTTCTTGAAGACACACGAGATAACCAAGTGTGAACAAAATTGCCTCTGTCTCCTTAAAAACAGACGACCGGCGATATCAAAGACTTTCCACTTCCTTAAGTTTTGTCCATGAGTGTATTGTATTGAACTATTCTATATAGCTGCCACTGTAGGCTTCCGTGTTCACATCCCAGCCGACACCGCAGAGGTATTCCTGGTTGAGGTAGTTAAGAAACTATATAGACTTGTCCGTAACAGTAACGGGTCTGCCGCTTCGCTCGTCATCATGCACGTTTTGCCGTCCTTCTAAGAACCATGAACGCCATCGGCGAACCATTTGGATGCTCATACATTCTTCACCATACACTGATACCTAATTCAGTTACGAGCGTCATGCGTTCTTAATAATTTTTCATCTCTGTCACCGTTTGCTTTTTTTTTTTGGAATGGCGCTCTCCTATTGGTTGGCTACGATCACGCCACCTTTGCCCCCCCCCCCCCCCCCCACTCGCTTCTTCGTTTTTGTAACTATTGTGTTGGAGCGGGTCGCTCCTTAAATAAATGCATATATTAGTTAATAACTAAATGGAATCCTCTCTTTCCTTTTCCCAGTATGAGACGCCTACGGAAGCCAACAGTACATAGACATATAAAGCACATAGGCTATAGTTATTAACTAATATATGCATTTATTTAAGGCGCCAATTTATAATTGTAACAAATAGTATTTGAATAAAAACATTCAATCGGGTAAAACACGGGCGTTGCCCGGGTCATTCGGCTAGTATAGACATAAGCTCTAAGGCCTGTAGAAATACACATACAAATATTTGCATCGAGCAATGCGTAAACAATCCACACATAATGTGATAAAAAACGATCTGGTGAATTAAACTGGCGAAACCGCTGTGAGGATTCACAACTGATGAGCCAAGAAGCCCTCCCACAATATGTTTTCATCGCAATAAGGACAGTAGAAGCTTGCTTTATATATAAACGAAAGATTTGTATTTGTTACAAAATGTCCAAGACACTATACACTTTTTCCGGC